TCTTTTTTCATTCAGTGTTTTTTCATTCCACAACCCAAAGTACAGATTCATGACTCTAGATTCCAAGTATATTCTCTGGTCTCCATTGCCTTTGGACTAGATCTGTTTGGAGCTGTCCCCAAAGTAAGCTTCCCCCCACCCCGGGGCCTGAGATTCCCTTGGGGGCTTCCTGACTTAACACTCTGCTGACTGTTGGCCTTGTCCCTGCTATAGGTGGTGTTGGGGACTCAGCCTGCCAAGGAAACAGAAAGGAAAGTACTAGGAGGTATAAGCTGCTCACCACAATCTGGTATGTTCCTTCCTGAAAGGTGGACTGAGTCTTTGAAGGAAGTGGGCTTGTCTCAAGTCTTAGGAGGGCTATTTTAAATGTAGTATCATTTAATAAAAGTAGTGATTGGTCTTCATAGAGACATGAAACCTACTGATAATTTTATTATTAAATTAAAAAGTAGGTGACAAAACAATTCCGTATTTGCGGACTATAAGTTCCATTTTTTTTTAAATAAAAGAGCCAGGTATGGTGCTGCCCGCCTACAATCCCTGCACTCAGGAGGCTGAGGTAGGAGGATCTTTGCAAGTTTGAAACCAGCTGGGGCTACAAAGTGAGCTCAAGACCTGCACAGCAAGACCCTGTCTTAAAAAGACAAATTCAAAAGTTTATAAAATAAAATAGATATAAAAGTCTGGTAGGAAATATGTAAAAATGTTAACTATGTAATCATTGGTCAGGAAAAACATAGATTTTTTTTTTCCACATTTTTCACAATGTCTTAAAATTTTTAAAACTGACTTTTTTTTTTTTTTTTGTGTGTGTGTGTGTGTGTGTGTGTGTGTGGTTTTATTGAAGCACAAACAAACACGCACACAGGCCATCTTGGTTTCTTTACTGGGCAGCCTGGCATTGGGATTGGTGACCCAGATGGCTAGCTGGGCTGCTCTTTCCACGATGGCTTTGCGGTTCTTAGAGGAGACGTTGTGAGCCATCTCCGCACAGTGAGACTTGTTGCACATCAGCAGCACCTCCAGCTCCTTCACACTGTGCACCAGGAACTTCCAGGAGCCGCTGGGCAGCATGTGCTTTGTCTTTTTGTCACTTCCATAACCTATGCTGGGCATCGAGGTCTGGCCCTTGAGCCTCCTCCTCACCCTGCTGTCGATGCCTCTGGGTTTCCGCCAGTTGCGCTTAATTTTGACAAAGCGGTCTGACTGGCGCCGGATGAACTTCTTGGTCCTCTTTTTGACGATCTCGGGCTTCACGAGGGGTCTGAGGGCTGCCGTGGTGAAAGTGGGAGACGGCTGCCACCTCCGTAGGCAGTACTAAGGAAGAGCTGATCTGTAATTCTCATGATTTGTAAAACAGTGGTTTGAGATGAACAGCTCGTGTTTCCTAAAGAAGGCTTCAGGCTTGAGACAGAGTTTGTGGAGCAGTGCTTTCTCTCTGTCTTCATAGTCCTGTGGCAGTCCCACTTCATAGTGAGGGGGATGAGGCTGGGGGCGGGGAGCAGGGGGCAGCAGAACCCCAACCCTGTGTGAGGGAAAGGGGGGGCTCAGGCTCCAGCCCTGCCTAATCCTGCTGCCACTTCCATAGTCTTACTCTCTCGCCCTCACCTGCAAGTCTGAAACTGGAGCAAGAAGACAGCCAGTCTTGGGGCCCTGATGGGGCTAATACACAGCAGGACTCCTCTGCCACTCTTGAACCATCCTTCCCACTCTCGCTGCTCACAGACTGGGGTCCCCCAGCACCGGCACCACAGGGAGCTTATCAGACATGAACAATCTCGGACAACGGGCCTTTCCTATGGATCACGGTCTGCACCGCAACAAGATGCCCCGGTGACTCACCCACACATTGCAGTTTGACAAGGGCTACTGTAAAAATGCCTCCCTGGGTGGGCTCCTTACCCTCGTTGCTGTGGAAACCACCGTTGTGCACGCACTTTTGTGCCCAGCCTCATGGCCCAGAGCAAAGTGTTCGCTCTGTCAGACACTCAATGGAGCCTTGAGGCCTGAGAAGAGAAGTCATCTCTAAAGACACTTTACTCATCAAAATGACCCCTGATGCATGTGTTTGTGTGTGTGAGTGTATATACCTCAAGGATAGCCAGACACAGTCTTCATCCAACAGACAAAGCAGTGAGATGTTGGCAAATGTTCCAATCAGCACTTACATAGCATTCGCCAATTTCTGGGGAGTAAATACTCCCACCAGGCCAAGCTGATTGATCACAGAGGTAAGGGATGAACAGCAGCTCACATGAGCAGGTACCAGTGCTGCCCCACACCGCCAAGCCAGGCCCTACTATGTGCCAGTCATGATTCCTCACAGGAAAGGGAAAGTCACAGGACAGCTAGGGAGGACACAGTGTTTTACTGGTGGCTCCGACAGCCATTTAAGTTTATCTGTCTCTAGTGTTGGAAAACAGAAAGTGGCTCACCAAATACATCCCACTGCCCTGATATGAGTATGACATTGTCTGGGGTGATTGCTCTTCCAGAAAAGTAAAGAGAACCTTGGATTTGCAAGGCAGAAAAGCTCTCAGGCCTGGTCTGTGCTGCGCATTTCCCCCAGCTTCCACTCTCATTTGCCTTTCAACAAGGAGTTGGTTATGGAAGCAGGGACATTGTAATATAGGAAGACAAAGTCCAGCGAAAAACTCAAGAGGGGCTGGACTGCTGGAAGTATAAGCCAGATAGCACGAGTGGTGGAAAACCTGGACAACATATGGAAGAAGGAAAGATGAACTACTTAAATAAACACTGAGAGGGTCTTTAGCTGGATGGAAAGTGAGCACTTCTTATGCACCAGAATTCATGCTATGACTCTAAGTCTGTTGTTACCTCACAAACTCTTGCAGAAATCCTGTACTATGCTGCTGTCATCCTGGTTTCTATTCTATGGAGGAAGAAATTATGGCTTAGGGCATTTGCTTAAGGCTGCGCAGCTTGCAAGAGAAACAGGTAGGACTCCACCCCAGGGCCAGTAAGAGAAGGAGGCAGAACTCCAACCAAGGCCAATAAAGGAAGGAGGTAGGTCTCCAAGCCAGGTCCATAGGACAGATACTTGAGGATACCCAACAAATACTGCAGCACATCACCCACCTCTTCATTGGTGGGAGTGGTGCAGACACAGCTGGAAAGAAAGAGGTCCTCCCTTAGGGGACTTCCAAGACACCTCTCTCAGCCAGCAGAAGACAGAAGGGATGGAGATGGGCCGCTGGTCCTGCTCAGGGACCTGGGGGTGCAAACAGCCTTGTCTGCCAGTTCCCACACTGCTCAGTGCTGGAAATCACATCTTCAGGAACCCTGACCAATGTATAATTGTATAAGGAACCGAAGTGTAGCTCGGTGGTAGAGCACTTACTAACACGTACAAGGTCCTGGGTGCAATCTCCAGTGTACACACGCACACACACTCCTTGTGTAAGGGGAGAACAATCACTGAAGGGCAGAAAAATGCAATTTCCAACCCCTGCTGGAAAGGAATACGAGCCCTCAAGCTGGAGACTGAACTGACAGACACATCTGTCAGAGGCTCCCCACGGGCCACAAATCCTATTTCCTTTGCTTCCTGCAAGCCCAGCTAGACCAGATTTGCCACTGTCCTTGCAGTCCTTGTGGCCACGGTGGAAGCCACGTCAGAAGACACTTGCAGGTGGGGCCCCAGCTGGGCCCCAGAAGCCTCCCAGTGTAATTCCTTATGTTCTTTCACCTCCCACAACACCATGCACTGTAAACAGCAGAGGAACAACATGAAAGGAATCTGCTCTCTGCAATTGCTGTCTGGAAATGAGCCAGTTAAACTGTAGGCAAGCAAGAAACAAGCTTGAATTGTCAAGGTGTTTTCTAAGGACTTCTTTATCAAAGAAACTAGAACCATTAGCCTGGAGCAAATTCCAAGGTGAAAGTGGTTATATCTGGCTCCAGTATCTCACAGGCCACCGTAAGTTAAAGGTGATTTTTTTTTTTTTTTTATTGTCTTCCAAGGCACAGAACTAAGAAGGGGAGTAATGTCTTCAAGGAAAGTAACAGTGCCAGGTATTTCCAGAGTAAGAGGAAAATTTTAAGAATCAGAGCTATGCAGAGTTCTGGCTCCTCGCCCTTTCACCTCACTCTCCTCTTGACCACCTCTCCTTCCTGTTGCATGTGAGCACCCTGAGCTTGTTCTTACCTCTGGGCCAGTATGAGTGCAAATCCCACTGCCTTAAGCACTCTTCCTGACTCTTTGCAGGCTTTAGTCATTCAACAACTATGCCTTGCTCATGACAAACGCTGTTCAGCGTGTTTAGAATGTAACAGTGAATAAAAAAGACAAAATCCCTGGCCTCATAGAAGTTAAATTCTAGCCAGAGATAAACACTATAAGGACTACATGAAATGGTGTGTTAAACAATAAGGCTATGGGGCGGAGGGGTAGCATAGCAAAGCAAGGAATTCTGGGAGCTCTAGGAAGCCAAGGTCAATGCAGACCAGTGGCCATTTTAGGTAGGGTGAACATGGCTGTGCTGGGCCTTCTTTCAAATTTGACATTTGAGCCAATGTTTAAGCCGGGTAAGGAGATTAGTGAAAGAATATCAGGGACCAGAGTTGAAACACTTCAGGCTGAGGGAATGGCTAGAGCAAAGGTCCTAGGGCAGAAACATCTCTGGAAAGTTCAAGGAACAGCAAGGAGGCCAGTAGGACTGGAGAGCGAGCAAGAGGCAGGGCAGTAACAGAGGAGATGAGAGAGACCAGGGGAGTTTAGGAGGCTTCGAGGCTTTGGGTTCAAGGTCAAGGCCTCAGGGAAGGCTTTCACAACCCTCTAATTTAAATCAAATTTCCCTCCCTCGGCCCCCTCATCCTCCCTAATAGCACCCTTGTCCTTCACAATGTCACAGTTTTGTCACCCACGCATTCACTGGTTTACTGTCTCCAATCCCCACTGGACTCAGTAGATAGCTGATGCTTAATTAATATTTATTATTGGCCAATTAAACGGCAGTTGCAATAAGTCACCACTCCCAGTGGCAGTAGCTTCCCCAAGGCTGCACCACCAAGACAGAGGCTGGGGGGGAGGGGGTCAGTCACCTCAAGGCGGTTAGATAAAGCACACTCTCCAGCCCTTTCCCACGTGGACACCACAACACCCTGGCATCTCAGCAATAAAATGCCAAGTTTATTTTGTGCTGTTGAAATAGACCAGGCAGCCTCCCCGTGTCATTTTTTTCCCACTGAATTCTTTCCTCTCTTAAAACCCACTCCCCTCAGGCTTTCCTTTGTCTCTTCCCCTCAGGGCTGTGTTGCGTTCAGTTAGCAAATTACAAATCCTGTGGGTTTCCCCCCTTGCTACTGGCCCTTGGCCATGTTCAGGAACCACGAGATAGTAATGTGGCAGCTTTAGTGAAACTAGGTCTCTGCAGGTCGCTTGTCTCCTCTGCTCCCTGCACAGGTCCTCTTAGCTCAGCCGGCCTGCTGAGGGAGGACACAAAGTATATGTGAACAGAAGCCCGCTGGGCAGCTACAGATGAAGCTTCCAGAGTTCCATTTGAGGAAATGAACGGCCAAATGATAAAGAGAGAAAAGGCAAGGAAGACTTTGGTCTCCGGTCCTCAGCCAGAGGTTGATTCATAGTGGAGATTCTCAGCAGCTGCTTAACCCCGCTGGACCTCCACTTTCTCACCCAGCAATTGGAGGTGATAACTAAAGCACTTAGCATGATAACAGCTCAGAGGCGCAGGGCACTTGATGAGGGCTTCCAAGCACTATTCTAATAGGAAATAGCCCCTTACAATTTAATGACACAGACTGCACATTGCTTCTAAAAGCCTGCGGGGTCTGGCCACTGGCGCTCGCAGCCCGCCCCTCCCCCCAGCCACTTTCCCACTGGTTCCTTACCATTCCTTCAGTACACAAGTTGTTTCCCACCTCAAGATGTTTTGTTTGTTTGTTTGTTTTGGTTGTTTTTTTTTTCCTGCCAGGACCTTTGCCCTCCAACAGTCATCGAAGGTAGCTGCTTCTTTCGCCCCTAGTTCTCAGTTAAAGTCCTGACTCCTGCAATGCTCTCGATGTATTTAGCCCCCAAAATTCACATCTTGGACCCCAAAACCTAGTGAGGGACTATTAAAAAGTGAGACTTTGATACAGACTTCAGCCCTGGAGGTTCCGGCTTCAGGGTGGGGTCAAGTGTGATGATACAGGAGCCCGAAGTGAAGGCCCTTGGCCCCCTGTGCCAGGTGAGGAGAGGGCAGTGTCCCCCCGGGAAGCAGAGGAAAAGCCCTCCCGGTCACTGCATCTG